AGAATGATGAGGGCAATGAATGTACAAATGTGCTTTACACAATTGATGTATGTATGGATTGTGATAAGAGTTGTATGAGCTCCTAATAAAATGATTTTTTTAAAAAAGACAGTCTGTGCCTCCTGCCCCCCACCCCCACCCCATTCTTTGTTCGTTGTTTTTCAGTTTGGGAAGTTCTATTGGTCTGACCCCATTTTTTCCTCAGCCTTGTCCAGTCTACAATGAGCCATCAAGGAAGTTCTTCATTTCTGCTACAGCGGGATTGGTTTCCTGCACTCCCCTCCCACGCTTAGAGTTTTAATCTTTCTGCTTACAGTAACAGTACCCAGAGCTATTTGTAGAGTGCCCAGTTTTTTGTTGTTTTTTTTTTTCCTGGAAAAAACTGCAAGCCCTGGGACCTTTACAAGTGTTTCTCGCCTCCCTGCTCCCCCTTCCCTCCCTCAGCCTATTAACCCTCTCACTCCCTGCCCTGTGAGTTTCTGAGATGATAACCTTTTTACTGGGAGTAGAAAGCCCCATCTTTCTCTTCTGGAGCAGCTGGTGGTTTTGAACTGCTTGCCTTGAGGTGAGCGGTCCAACTCTTAGCCACTGTGCCACCAGACCTCCACATGAACCACAGCTATTTTAAATTCCTGGTCTGATGGGTCCAAATCTCAGCCACATCTGAACTGGGGTCTGATGCTTGCTCTGTCTTTGCAGGGCGGGCTTTTCGGTTCTCAACATGTCGGTAATCTTGTTGTTGTTGAGAGATAGACATGTTGTATGGGTAAAAGGAACAGACTAAGTGGGCCACTGATATGTGGTTTCATGTGTATCTGTCTGGGAGTGGCTTTATTGACTGTTGGGTATTGTTGCAGGTGTTAGAGACATGCTTCCTCCATCCCCTCTGCTGTGGCTGGCAGTTCCCTGCAGCATAACTCCCCCGTCATGATACAGGAGTCCAGTTGACGGGTGTTAGCTGTGGGTGGAAGGGAAGCATTCTGTACTCCTATCTGTAGGTCAGATCCTGTTAGCGTCACAGTCTCGTAAGTCCGATGTAAGCTCACTGAGAGTCAGACCAGCCCTATGGCAGGGGTGCTGGGCTGGTGATCGGGTCTCAGTCATTCCGACTTGTGCTGCTGGCCTGAGACCGTCACCAGCGCTGGTGCTTCCCATTCCCTGCCTGCCTGCCTTCTTTCCTCCCTTCCTTCCATCTTTCCTTCCTTTTTATTTCTTCCCTCTCTCCCTCCCCCGCTCCTTTTTTCTCGCCTTCCTGTCTCTCTCCCTCTCTCTCCCTCTTTCCCTTCCCCTACACTGGCCAGGTTCTGGTAAAACCGTTGCTTTGGTCAAGAATGAGGGTTAAGAAGAATTCTGGGAATATGTCTAAGGGTTCCTTAATGTTACCCTTTGATCTCTGGAATAATAAAAATGCCATTTTCACTTATCTTCGCAGTGAGAACCTGGCGGGACCACTCGTGAGCGTATGGGGCTAGTGGCCTCTGCTAGCACTTAGTCACTCTGTGTTCATCGTTCCCACCTGGTGCTGTTGGGCCCAGCTGGGATTGCTGCTCCTGGTCAGTTTGGGTCAGTTCTCTCTATATGCCTGCAGGTCCAGTGTCCAGGCAGTGGTTGTGCCCTGTGTGTGAGGCCAGCTTGTCTGGAGAAACAAATCCAGTGACTCTCGTATAGGGATAAGAAAGAGCTTTACATTAAGAAGTCAGTATATACCAAGCAAGTGTCCAAGCGCAGTCCAACTCAGGTCTGTAAGCCCGCTGATAGTCCCTTAGCCCCTCTCCAGACTCTTGCAGCCACATGCAATGACGCTGGAAGATCACAGGCTGGTGGGTGCAGAGTTGTGTGGATCCGAGGTGGGGGCAGTGAGTGTGGTGTTCTGGTTTGAGTCCCTCCAGTGGTTGGGGGATCATAGTTTGAGAAGCTCCTCTGGAGAAAACCATTAGCCACACTTTAGGACCCCATTTACCCAAGTTTCAAACGTAGGCAAAGCCTCATGGACGGGGTTGTGAGTTGGCACAGAGGTCATGGGGGGTGGGGGTGGGAACACGGGTAGCATCTGCAGGGGACGTGAGGGGCATCTGAGGTCCTGATAATGACCTTGGTGATGATCTGGGTGTCTGGGTACATGTGTGTTCATGGGGGAAATTCCTTGAACTCCATACTTAGGATTTGTACACTTCTGTCTAGGTAGTTCATTCTTTGATTTTTTTAAAGAGTTTATATTAGCTGCCCCCGGGGGTTTCCGAGACTCTGATGCCTCTCAGGAATAGAAAGCCTCATTTTTCTCCCTCCGAGCTGCTGGCAGTCTCCAACTGCTGACCTTCAGGTGAGTAGCGGAACGGGAAACCACGAAGCCACTCCTGTCCTCCACTGGTCTCTGAAAATGGAAACATCCCACCACTGACACAGTTGAACAGGAAAACATCCACCGGCTTCTCCTGGTTGGTAACGGCAGCCACGAATGTCCAACTCATTGGGCTTTTCCCTCTCGCGGGCATCTTCTGAAAGAGCCCTGGTGCCTCAGCAGGTTAAGCACTGGGCCGGTAACCAAGTGCTCAGTGAGTACAAACTCGGGAGAAAGATGCCCGCCTTGGAAACCTGATGGGGGCAGCTCTACCCTGCCCTGTAGGGTCGCTACCAGCCAGAATCCATGACAGTGGCTTAGGTTGTTTGGTTTGGGGTCAAACCCTGGTGGCCCAGTGGGTTTGCGTTGGACTGCTAACCGGCAGGAGGAGGCTGTCTGCTCGCAGCAGCACGGGAGCCCCCAGGAGCAGATCCGCTCTGCCCTAGAGGGTCCCTGGTGTCAGAAGCCACTCACAGTGACCCTACAGGACAGTGGGTTTGGTTTGGGCCCTCTGCTGGTGTCTGATCGCCTCTGACCGGGGCTCCTAGGCTCGCCGCTGCGGAGTGAGGGGCCGGCCGGTCTGGGCACTGTGGCCATGCGGGCACAGCCTGGACCTCGGGCCATGGGCGCCCTCCCTCCGAGGTGGCCGCAAGCCCAGGGTCCAGAGGAGCGACGGGACCCCTCCCTCCAGCCCGCGGGCCCTGAGAGTGCTCGACCCAGCAGCCGCCCTGCGCAGCAGCCCGGTGGCCGGCTGGCAGGGACTTTCAGGGGGTCTCCCCGCGGCTCTGGTGTCCGCTGGCTCCCGAAGGGGGCGTGGCGTGGGCGTGGCCCGGCGGGGCGGAGTCACACGCGCGGGCACTCCGAGCCTTTAAAAGCGCTGGCCCCGGGCGCTGCGCCCGCCCCACGCTCTGCACAGTCCGGCGCGCTGCTCCCCAGCGGGACCTCGGGGACCAGGCTGCCCAGCCGCTCTCCTCTCGGCGCTGCGCCCGCCGGCCCGCCTCATGCGGCTGCCCAGCATGTCGGGCCACTTTCTGCTGGCGCCCATCCCGGAGGCCGCTGTGGACGGCCCCCCGCCCAAGGACATCAAGCTGGCCGTGCTGGGCTCCGGCCGCGTGGGCAAGAGCGGTGAGTGCGCTGGCCGCGCGACCCCGACCCGGAGGAGCCCTCGCCCCCATGCGTCCCGCCCCCGCCTCCCCTCGGAGCCTCGCCCCCCACCCAAGTCGGGCCGGTGCGCCTGCGCGGGGCAGAGGCTCCGAGGAGACCCCTCCCGCGCCCTCCAGTCCCAGGTCCCCGCTGATGGTGTCTTTCCTTGGCAGCGATGATCGTGCGCTTCCTGACCAAGCGGTTCATCGGCGACTATGAGGCCAACACAGGTGAGAGCCGTCATCCTGCCTGCTCATGTGGCGAGCAGCGTGGTGTGTGTGTGTGTGTGTGTGTGTGTGTCCACCCCTTACCGATATACTGCCATCGCCTCGATTCCGACTTATAGTGACCCCGTGGGACAGAGCAGAGTTCCTGCATGGGGTCTCCAAGGCGGTAATTCTTTACCAAAGTGGACCCGCTCGCCCTTCCCTGCTGAAGCAATTGACCACTGACTTATCAGTTAACAGGCTAACTCGGAACCCTCCCCCTGATTAGGTTAAAACACACCCACTGCCACCCCGTGGGTCCCAACCCCTAGGGTCCCATAGGACTGCTCCCTAGGGTTTCTGAGACTACAGTGGTTACAGAAGGTGGCCCCGGCTTTCTCTCACGCAGCAGCTGGTGGGCTCCAAAGGTGGACCTTGGTAGTGAGTGGCTCAAAGTTTAACCCACTGTGACACCAGGCTTCCTTCTCCTGGATCAGATTAAAGTTCCCCCAGGCCCCCACCTCGCTGCTATTGGGTAAATTCTGACACACAGCGACCCTATAGAACAGGGCAGAACTGCCCCTGTGGGTTTCGGAGACTGTCATTCTAAGGCTACCAGGACTACTCAACCCACCCACTGCCACGGGATTGATTCAAACTTCTGCCAACCCCTGTAGAGACAGAACTGCCCCCTATGGTTTCTGAAACTGTAAATTAGTGGTTCTCAACCTTCCTAATGCTGCCACCCTTTCATACAGTTCCTCATGTTGTGGTGACCCTCCCCCTCCCCAACCATAAAATTATTTTCGTTGCTACTTTATAACTGTCATTTTGCTACTGTTATGAATCGGGCAACCCTGTGAAAGGGTTGTTCAACCCCCAAAGGGGTCGAGACCCACGGGTTGAGAACTGCTGCTAAATGCTGATGGACGCACAGTCTCATCTTTCTCCCCGGGGAGCGGAGCGGCTGGTCAACTTGAACCACGGACCTTTAGGTTGGCAGCCAGGACACCACCAGGAACCACCCCCACCTTTGCCCCTCGGGGCCCTCCCACTCCCTCTCTTGATGAGATGAGAGTGGAGGGATTTAAAAGCAAACTCCCAACTCCCCTGCCTCCTCCAGGCAAGCTGTATTCCAGGCTCGTTTCTGTGGAGGGAGACCAGATGTCCCTGCAGATCCAGGACACCCCAGGGTGCATCCAGGTAAGGACCTCTGAGAGCAAACAGCTGAGAGGGACCAGCAAACAGCTGACCTCAGCCAGACAGTCCAAAGGAGGCAGGCATCACGGGATGCCCTCCCTCGCGGACCTCACGCATGAGCGCGATGTCTAAGCATGGGATGCATTCCTGTGCAGGAGTAGGGCTGGGGGGGGCGGGGCAGGGGTGCCGGGGGAAGCAGGGGTTGAGGTGTTGAAGACCCTTCAAAAGGAGGCCAGTTAGGAACAGCTGCCTCCTGTCAGCTACCTTGGTGGGACAGAGAGGGGACGCTTCCCTTTGCAACCCTGGAGGCAGTGTCACTGCTCTGGCTGAACCTCATTGTAAAAGGGGTGGGGGTGAGGGGGTCTGGAGAAGGGGTGCTCCCCAAGCAAACACAGCGGAAGTGCTTGTTGACTGGCTGCCCCCCACCCTCCATCCTTCTTCGCAAGTGGCATGTAGTCAGGAATGCGGCTTGATTAACAAGTTACTAATTGCTGTCCCTTGTAGGGAGGAAAGGTCAAGGGGGTGGGAGGACAGAAAGAAGGAATTTGTTCTCAAGAAGTGCGGGCTAAAAATACCGCGATGGCTTTGGGAATCGATATTTATCTTGGCTTCCTTTCCAAGCTGTGTTTATTATGAGTGCTTCCCTAAAATCCCAGCCCTTCTGGCTTGGAAGGCCGCCTGGAATCCAGGCCACAGCTAGCCCCGGTCACTGCCGACAGCTTGCTAAGAGAGGGGTTTAAAAATAAGGCTTTGGTTACGACCCCTCAACTCCTCTCTCCCGCCGCCACTGTGCCTGCTAATGGGTGTGCTCTAGATCAAAAGCTCCTTTCTGACTTGCTGGGTCGAATCCATCCACATTCAAGTGACCTCTCTTGCTCTCTTTCTGTCAAGTTTTCTCCCAGGGCGACTTTGAAGTTTTTTTGTGGGCGCTCTCCCACTGCAATGGGCTTCCTTGGGCCCCAACTCCTTCTGATCTTCTTCTCAGGTGCACGACAATCTGGCCCAGCTGGCCGACTCCCTGTCCCGCTGTGTGCAGTGGGCCGAAGGCTTCCTGCTGGTCTACTCCATCACCGACTACAGCAGCTACCAGGCCATCCGACCCCTCTTCCAGCACATCCGGAAGGCCCAGCCGGACTCCAGGGTCCCTGTCGTCGTCGTGGGCAACAAGGGTGACCTGCTGCACGCCCGGCAGGTGCAGACGGACGAGGGCCTCCAGCTGGCCAACGAGCTGGGCAGCCCGTTCCTGGAAATCTCCACCAGCGAGAACTCCGACGACGTGGGCCAGGTGTTTCAGCACCTCTGCAAAGAGGTGAGCAGGCTGCACAGCCTGGCCGGTGACCGGAGGCGCCCCTCCATCATCCCACGGCCCCGGTCCCCCAACATGCAGGACCTCAAAAGACGCTTCAAGCAGGCACTGTCATCCAAGGTCAAGGGCCCCTCTGCCTCGGGCCTGGGCTGAGCCTGTTCCCCAGCGCTGCCGCTGTGCAGCTGCCGAGACGGGACCTTGCTGCGAACCACACACTCAAGAGTTTATTTTTCTACAGAGGTGGAGGGGTTTCAAATGCGTCTTTCCGGGACGTGGTCTAGAAGTCGGATGGAGTTTTGTTTCCTGTTTATTTGGGTTGTAATAAAATAAGCTTTCCTCTTCTTTCTTTTCTGGGACGGCTAGCCACTGTTCAATTAAAGCCAAAACGGCAGTGCTGCCCCTTACTGTCTTTCGATAGACCCCAAGCTTGCACCGGGCCTGCATCAGCTGTGGCTGGCCCTAGGTCTGAACTCTGAGGAGTGGACTGTGGGAGGGAATGGTTTAGGCGCTGGGACTGGTCATATGGGGGCCAGGAGCAGGGGCCTAAGACAGTGTGGGGAGGGAAGGGGACAGGAGGGGAGAAGCAGTATGTAGGACCAAAGGATCCCTTTAATCAGGGCTTTTGCTAGCATAAAACGGGCACCGTGGCATCCTCAAGGGCAGTGGGGTATGCTGGGCACTGTGCAGAAGAGAAGCTGGAAATCCCAAGTAACATGACTTACTGGTGCTCATTGGTTTAATGCTACCTTCTCTGCCTAGGGAGGAGCCCTGGCGGCATAGTGGTTACACATTGGGCTGCTAACCATAAGATCAGCCGTTCAAAACCACCAGCTGCTCCTTGGGGAAAAGATGGGACTTTCTACTCCCATAAAGAATTATAGTCTCAGAAACCTACAGGGGGCAGTTCTACCTTGTCCTGTAGGGTCACTTGCTATGAGTCTGAACTGAGTCAACGGCAATGGGTTTTGGGGAGGCCTGGTGGCCTAGTGGGTTATGAGTTGGACTCCTAACCACAAAGTCAGTTCAAACCCACCAGCTGCTCTGAGGGAGAAAGATAGGCTGTCTTCCCCGTAAGGATTTATAGCCTCGGAAACCCACAAGGGCAGTTCTACTCTGTCCTACAGGGTCCCTATGAGATGGAATTGACCCAGTGGCAGGGGGTGGGCCCACATTGAAAACCAAAATCCTTTCCCAGGGAGTGGAGCCCTCATCCCTGCCTGACCGCCAACCCCCACCCCCACCCCCAATCCAGGGGTTGCCTCAAGATCGTCTCTGTCTCCATTGTCAGCAATCCATTTGTCTCTCTGCCCTTCCTTCAGGGCCTCCCCACGCACTTATGACTCGGACCCAGACTCAGACACCCCTGCCGTGGTCTATTGGCCTCTGGAATGCCAGCCCTGGAGATCCATCTCTCAGGTTAAGTGCTGGACCACTCTCCAACTGTCAAGTCAGAAGTTCAATCTCACCAGCTGCACAGCAGGAGGAAGACGAGACTGTCTGCCCCCGTCAAGCATTACAGCCTCGGAAACCCCGGGGAGCAGGTCCACTCTGTCCACAAGGGGACCTAGGAGTCAGAGTGGGCTCCCTGGCAGTGGGCTTTGCTTGTATTTTTAAAATTCTGCCCACGGAGGAGCCCTGGTGGCATAACAGCTAAGTGACGGGCCACTAACTGGAAGGCTGGGGCTTGAACTCACGCAGCAGCTCCCAGGGGGCGAGTCCTGGAGGTCTGCTCTTGTGAAGAAAGGCGGCCAGGGGTTTCTGTGGGGCGGCCCTACCAGAAAGTTCCCATGGAAATGAGATGGAAGGTCATGAAATCTTCACGAGCTTTTTGAAGCCCCTTGTGTAATATATGCATATATAAATGTGTGTGCATATAGTGTATACATGTATGTATATGTGTACGTATAAAACTGCCAAGGTGCAGCTATTGAGATTGAACTGCTGACCCTGTGGTTAGTAGCCCAATGCTCAACCTACTACATCATATATATATATATATATATATATACACACACACACACACACACTATATATATAGTATATTTATATGTATAAGCACATATATGTACTATATACACATACATACATGTATACTATATGTGTATATAAATACACATTTATATACACACACAGGGACTTCAGAAACCTTGTGAAAAAAATTCATTATCTTTTAATCTCATTTTCCATGAACTTTTGAAGTCCCCTCCTGTATGTATGTACATGCATAGATGGATGTATTCTGATGCATAGCGACCCTCTACAGCAGTGGTTCTCAACCTTCCTAATGCCATGACCCGTTAATACAGTTCCTCATGTTGTGGTGACCCCCCCCAACCATAAAATTATTTTTGTTGCTACTTTATCACTGTAATTTTGCTACTGTTGTGAATCAGGCGACCCCTGTGAAAGGGTTGCTCAACCCCAGAAGGGGTGGCGACCCACAGGTTGAGAACTGCTGTTCTATAGGGTTTCTGAGGCTGTCAATCTTTATGGGAGTCAATCTTTATGGGCACAAATAGCTGCCTCTTTCTTCTGCAATTCAACTGAAGAGATTGAGCTGCTGACCTCGCAGCTGGAAATCCAAATGTTTGCCTGATGGCACCATAGGACTCTGTTTTAGATGCATGTATACATGTATTTATGTACACACGCACACACAACACCTAACAACATATATACGCATAAAAACACAACCCCCTAACAACATATACATGCACACATGCGCTAATATACACACAACACCTAACAACATGTACATGCACACACACATTCACACACTCAACACCTAGCAACACACCCACCCACACAATACCTAACAACAACATATGCACGCACACACACAGGGGCTTCATAACATTCATGGAAATTTCACATGATCTTTTAATTTCACATTTCCACAAGCCTTGGAAGGCCCTGCACACAAGCTCTTGGGTCCTGCATGGCAGGGAGCCAGCTGCAGGCACCATGAGGGGAGGTCCAGGTCCACTATGGAAGCTCAGGCACTGTCCGAGATGTCCCAGGCCGCTGGACGCTGGCCCCACGGGACCCCACGGGAAAGCCAGGGTTTGCTGGCCAGGCAGCCTGTGGAGGGTGGGCTAGATCCGGGTGCAACTGGCAGTTGGGCTGAGCAAGATGTCATCCACTGCAGTCCCCTGCACCCATTCTCCCAGGCCCCAGTGCCAGGTGACCTGACCCCAAAGTTTGGGGAGGACATAGCCCCCAGCCGTCCAGGGACTCAGGTGGAGATGGCCCCCTCTGGCTTCTCAGTGGTGAAGCACTGGGCCACAGACCCAAAGAACCATGCTTAGACCCTCCAGCTGCTCCTGGGGAACGAAGTGATGGTTTGCTTCCAGGAAGAGTGAGCCCCAACCCAAACCCACGGCCGCCGAGTCGATTCCAACTCAGAGCGAGCCGAAAGCAGGCTTCTGAGCCTGTCAGTCTTGACGGGAGCAGAGACCCTCGTCTTCCTCTTTGGAAGCGATGGGAGGGTTTGAACTGCAGAGCTCGTGGTTGGCAGCCCAGTGCATAGCTCACAGCATCACCAGGGCTGCTCCCTGAAGAAACCCCTGGGGCAGCTCCACTCCGTCCATCCCATCAGGTGTCTATGTGGTGGAATCAACTCTGTGGGCAGGGTGGTTTGTTCTCATGGGCATCAAGAAGCCCTGCTGGACGCCCTCACCTGATAACTGAGAAGTTGGTGTTTGCAGTTCCGAAGAGGAAAGGCCTGGCCACTTATCCCGAGAAGATGGCAGTGCAGGACACCCGCTGGGCAGGGCAGTTCCCTTCTCTCCGCTCAGGCCATGTAAGTCAGAGCGAAGGTGACAGCAGTGGCTCATGGGGCTGCCGAGGGGAGTCTTTGAAGAGAAGCTGAGGTCTAAGCCAATCTCCCTTCTGCTCTTTCCAAAACGGGGAAGGCAGAGCACCTGAGATGTGTGTGCCATTCAATGTTTTGCTGTGGGGACACAGCACGGAAAACTTGGGTGGGTCTGGAGGGGGCGGTGTCTGCCTCTTTTCGCCTCGCAGATCTGTCTTAGCTCTGAGGTGTGGTCCAGAGAGTGAGCATCTACCTCCACCCTCGCCCCTTGTTTCTCTTCATTGCCTGCCCAGCCCCTGCCACCATCAGAAGGTTTGTCTTGGAAATGCCAGCAGCAGGGCACACTCACGCTCCTAGTTGGCGCAGTGATTAATTCTCCTCCCAGAACGCTGCAGGGGTTGATTTAATTACCGGGGCTATTAGTGGGGTTCTGGAGAGATGGAGGCCAAAGTCCACTATGTCCTACAAACATGCTGTACTTCACACGCATCCCAGGGATCTCAAATTTGGATCACGGAAAAGTTAATCAGTATAATAAAAGGACATCGCATTTGTTCTGCAGGAGTTCAAAAGTTTATTGCTATCCGTTTGTGGAACTGGGTTCAAATGAGCGGATGTGGAAGACAGTGTGAAAAATCAAGCCAATAGAACACTGGTTTTTAGTCATGGGTTAGGGGCTCAAATGGCTTTGTTTGTTCTTTGCACATGTTCTTATTGCAACTTCTCATGGTGCCAAGCTGCTGCCTTAGGCTGGGTTCTTGAGAGAAGCAACTGCAGGGATGCTTACTTACATAAGGTTATGTCCAGAGAGGTTTACTCAAGAAAAAGACTCACACAGATGTAGAGGGGGGCAAGTTTCATGTGTGGGTGCAGGCTTCCCCTGACTCACGTCGCTGCAGCAGGGCCTGATAACCCCAAGCTTGGCAGGTCAGACAGTAGACTTGTGGATACAAAGGCTTATGGACCCAAAATCAGATGTCAGGTGGCAAGCCGCAGACATCTCCCAAGATCAGCAGGCAAGCGGCAGGCTGCTGGCTCAAGTCCGAAGACCATGAGGCCAGAGATGAAAGTCAGGTGCAAGATCGAGACCCAGCAGAAAGCAAGCAAACTTTTCCATAGTGTTCAGTTATATTGGAAGTGAGCCACAGCCCCACAGAGATATAATCATGAGTGATTACTACAGCTGAGCTACCAAATCACTCAGCATCCTGCCTAGGCACATTGACACCGAATCTTAACTATCACAGCTACCAATCCAATTTTAGAAAGCAAAGATCTGAGGGTAAGTAGAAAAGTATTCCTACGTGTTTTTTCCCCCAGTTTATACATGCACGTGTTTATTCCAGACAAAGTGTGTTTACGAACATATTTCTGGGATCAGTGGCTTGCAGCAGTCACGTTCTCTCATCAATACTCTTGTCTTGGTCTCATAAAGGCTGGTGATGGGCGTCCACCCAGCGGCATCTTGGAGGAAGGGCCTGGTGACGAACTTCCAAAAGCCAGCCATTAAACACCCTTTGGAGGCAGGGCAGTGTCTGACACAATGGCCTGGGACCCCGTGGGTCGCCGCAAGTCAGCATTGACCACAACCATTGGTTGTGAGCCGTGGCGTGAGGGGGTGGTGGTGAGTTGACCTGTCCGGCTTTGCTTGGACCTCCGGCACCGCCTGACCAAGCTGACCCTTCCCAAAACTCTCCCTGAATCTGCCGTAACATTGTTGAGCACTTTCAGGGGGAGCTGTGGCCTGGACTGGAGGAGGGGTTCAGCATTTTCTAAGGTGCTGAGCCCAGTGGACACCTCCCCTGGGCCCCTCTCTCCTCAGAGCATTCTCCTCTCTGCCCTGGCCCACCCGGGGGGGGCAGCCCCTACAGTGCTCTGGTGATTCATGAGAGCAGGCAAAGGAGTGGATGCCAGCAGTCCCCGAGGCTGAGGGGAAGCCAGGCCAGGCACAGGAAACTTGGAGAGCTCTCGTTCCTCCCTGCCCCTCTCTATCTGTCCAGGTGGGCTCCAGAAGCTGCCTGTGTGTGGGTATGGTGTGACTGTGTGTGTGTGTGTGTGCACGCATGTATGAAATGCATTGTGTCTGCAGGTGTGGTGTGCAGTGTGTGTGGTGTGCAGCGTGTGCAGTGCATGTGCAGTGTGTGTGTAGCATGTGTGTGCAGTGTGTGGTGTGCAGTGTGTATAGCGTGTGTGTGAAGTGCATGTGGTATGGAGTGTGTGCACAGTGCGTGTGGTGTGCAGTGTGTGCAGTGTGCACGCGCAGTGTATGCACTGTGCAGTGTGTGTGTAGCGTGTGTGTGCGTGTGTATGGTGTGCAGTGTGTATGGTGTGCAGTGTGTGTGCAGTGCGTGTGTGATGTGCAGTGTGCAGTACATGTGACTGCAGGTGTAGTGTGACCGTGTGCGTGCGCGCGTGTGCAGTGCATGTGTGTGGTTTCTGGGTGTAATGTGATATGTGTGCACGCTTTGTTCACAGTGTTACCAGGGCTCAGCACCAGCAGGAAGTTCCTCTGCCCACTGTACTGGTTGTCCCCAAGCTCACTCAGTCCTGGCACACAGGACCCTGCCAGGCCACAGAATACCAGAGGAAGCCAACACAGCCTCTTCTGATTCTTCTTGGGCTCTCAAAAGGCAGGAGGATTTGCAAGTATCCTGTGAATGATCTAAAGTGACAATCGTTTGTCCTGTTTTTTTCCAAGCAGCCAGTCAAACCACGCCCCCTCAGTGACAAGCCAACCAGACGCCCACTTGCATGGACAGGCTCCTGGGTGGGGGGCGGGGCGAGCAGCGCCTTCCAGCTCATCGGAGCCCCTTGCTCTCCCCGCTGCTGCCTCCAGCTTCTTGGCAGACTTTTCCCGGAAGGCAGCATGCGCCCCTCCCACCCATCCTCCCGTCTCATCCCCTCCATGTCTGCAGGCTGACTCATGCCGGTTGGAGGCAAAGGCCAGAAAAAACCGTCTCCCTCTGTCCTCTTAAAAAACATGCAAAACAAAAACCCTTTCTGTTGTGAATTGTGTGGTCCACGACTTTCCATTCAACAACTCAGACACAGTTGCATGTCATTAA